AATTTATTTATTAAAAATACATTTTTTATTAGATGCAACATATACTGTGTTAAATCACGATAATTTTTTTAGCTTGAATCATTTCGCTGAAGTACCGTCCTTTGCATCAAATTATATACATCCATATATGCGTTTTATTGCATATCTTGTTGGTATAACCGCGGGTGCAATACTTCACGATTATAGAGGAATAAAACGGGAAATACCGACAGTATGTGATCTATATTATTTTATATATGGCATTTACAAAATATCTATTTTCAAACAAACTACACATGCCAATTCATTGCATTTTATATTTTATAGTTCTGGTCGCATGTATTGGTTTTTATATTGCCTTTAACTTTGACTGTCACATTTCAATTGTGGGCGCATAGATTTTTTATGCCATATACCGAGTGGTCACCTTTAGAAGGTGGATTTTGTTCATTCTATCAGAAATTACTATTTGCAGTTTGCACTTGTGCTACGATAGTTGTATTATCCCTTGACAACCGTTTAAGTATGTATATAATAAAACAGTTTAATAATTAACACTTTGTGAATTAGAGATTTAATTGTATTACATTTATCATAAGAAATATTATCAAGAAATTATAATTTCTTAAGTTAATTTAAAAAACTGCAGTATTTTTAATGAGTATGTATAATAAATCATTAATTCTCTAAGACAATAAAAAATATATTTAATGTATTTTTTACTATAAATATACATATTTTCCACGCAAAGTGTTAATATTAAAATATTACTTTTTGTATTTTAACATCTTGAATATATATTTCTTTTTTTACAGCATTTTACCACAAATTTTTGACACCTAATTGGGTCCAAATATTAGGAAAATTAACTTATGGAGTTTTTCTAGTGAGTGATATATTTCACATTTACAACAACGGACGAAGAAGAAGCGCTAGAATGTTCTCCAATTAAATAATAAATTACTTACAAAATTTAATGTGTATATTATAATTTAGTAAATATTTTTTGCGTCCTAGCAAAGTAGATATTTCATCTTTTAAAAACTTTTTCAATACAATTAGGTTAAATCAAAGACTATAATGTGATTACGATTTATGATATTGATAGAAAATTAGCACAAGTATTTCTTCCCTCAAAAAAAGCTGTCACTAAATGAATATTTAAAATATTTTCTAATATTATTTCTTATTTTTGAACAGTATAATATTATAAATATATGTAACTCTATGTATTATGTAATTATTAAACAATTAAATGCTCCAATTAAATAATAAATTACTTACAAAATTTAATATTATAATTTAGTAAATATTTCTTGCATTTTAGCAAAATAGATACTTCATCTTTTAAAAACTTTTTCAATACACTAGGTTAAATCAAAGACTATAATGTGATTACGATTTATGATATTGAGATGAAATAATAGCCATTGTAGCAAAGCTAGTTGTTTTACTGTATTTATTTAAACTTGCTTTATATTATAGTTCTCATCATGTAGTAAATAATCTGATTTTAATAAAACCTGAGATTTATGTTCTGTAAAATTAAAAAAGTTAAGAGTATAAATATATATTTTATACTCTTGTGTAATATTTAATTGTATTAAATCGAATTTCATTGATATTTATGTACAAGATTTAATTTTATATATTGGGCTAAAACCTTCTTTGTGTACTATCTCATATATGTGGAATAATTTTAGTGCAAACAGATTAGTTTGGATCATGCTAAGACAAGTTATATATATAGTTACATATTGCACGAGAACTGAAGTCAGCTAGCGATAATCGGTCGCACGATTAGATAAATATGAAGTAAAATGCATTTAAATTTCCCTCCATTACAGTCTGACCATTTCTCTCTGCTTGTTTGGTTGAAGAAGATATCCCTGTGCTATACCACATGTTAGACATCCCTGCCGCTTCTTGTATTTTCGAGAACACACATTCTCGGCGGTTAGTTTTCACTGATATCGATAATCTTTATCGTGCTCGCCTGAAAATTTGCATAAGAAGTATTTGTTAGAAAGCTCTTCCAGGAACTGTGACGCAGCATACCTGGCGCATAGTGATAGTGTATGACGACAGATCGTTGAACTCGAAATAACTGACGTGTTCAGGTAACCTTTTAAAATTTGTGCTCTCGATACGTACACATCAAATTGTTTTGAGATCATAAATCATTATTCGCGAGTGTGTAATAAATATATGGTATAAATATCAGATAAAATATACGCACGTAACGAATGAACGTTGTGTATGTTTCTCGCAGTGTCGTACGTATTAAGGAAGATAGACGCACAAGCAAGATAAAAGATAACCTTTTTCCCGATTTATATGTACATTTATTTGTTGATTTATGTAAAATTATATTTTTTTACGATAAGATGCACGTTATATTGTAGGATCGAGATATAAATTCATCGAAATTATACGTGTGTAAAATTTTTTTACCAAAGGAGTCGTCTCTCTCTCTGTCGGGACGCCCCTGAACGATTAGTTGCTGATTTGACTAGCGGCGCATCGATGGCGGAAGTGACGCGCGTCGCTTCGTTACGTTTACATTCTGTTCTCGACGTCGCGTTGTGCGGAGCCATTACCCTCGTCCGCGCTAAAGCATCGTGCCATATTCCCACTCGCGCCCTAAAATAGACAGCATTCTCGTAGTTTTAAGTGAAATATTATGAGAGTGAAGACCGAAATGGACGACGACGAAAAGGGGTAAGTACTATATTAGTACTATATTATATCGTGACCGTGCGCTCTCTTGTCGCCATCCGTCCCTCGGAAAAACCGCGGTGCACCATCGTGTTCGCGGGGCCATCATTTTCGTCGCGCGAGAGCTCCATTTTCGCGTCAGGTTATCGTTCGACGATTTCTTCGCTCGATCTTCCTTATTCCCGCTCTCCTGTTCGATCCTTCTCGCGACTCGCCGTGATATCCTCGTTGCCGCTATTGAAAGTTCTCGTCGAGAGATGCGCTGGCATTACTTTCTTTTTTTTTTTTTTTTCATGGTAGCGATGATGCGTGACTTCGCTTCGCCGTGAGATTCACCGGGTAAAGTCGATTCGGCTTATTCGCGCCGTCCGGTTTCGTTCCGTTCACTTTTTGCTTGCTCGATCCGAATATCGTGCGAAAATCTAGAGTCCCCTCCCTTTCCCCTCCCCTAACTATCATATAGGCGCATTCTTTTATGGCAGCATCGCGAAAGCGGTTCGCGAAAGCAGTCCCGCTCGCATTCGTAGGCTATTCCATTCTCTATTTTTATGCTCTAATTCCTGATAGACTGGATTGTTTGCTTTGTTGCCTGTCTCTGGAAGATCTCTGTGCCTCCGTAATTAAATGTAACAAACATATATGTAAAGTGATAAATATCTAGACGTCTATTGGAGTAATAAATCGAGTACCTTTGAGTTTGTTTGAATTTTTGAAATATAGTAAGTAGAGAAGGAGAAAGATGCAGGGATATCAATCGATTTTAATATTTGTATTCATCATTGATGTTATCATTATGTTTCATATAAGCAGCATATACATATATCTTTGTTATTATTTTTTTTTTGTATGAAAATTAATACACATACACATCTGTTTTTACAAATTAAATATTTTAAATTAAAAAGATTCTTTAAAAAATGATTCTTTTTATTATATATTATTTTTTGAGGCATACATACACACATACATAAAATATGAAATTGTATGCTTTTAAAAATTTTTATTATGATATTAATATTTATGTATGTGAATATTATTTCTCTATGATTTGAATTATTACATTGTTTAAATTGCTCACATTTTATAAAGTTTACATTTATGTAATAAATTTCTTTATTTTTATAAAAATACATATATAAAATATTATGACAAATATCTATAGTATATAATTGTATTCATTATACTATAAAAGTTTTAATTAGAATGTTAAGTTGATTTAGTATGAGTTTGAGAAAATATACAAATAAAATCCATATATGCCTTTTACACAATTAATTATTTTTCAAAAAAGTTTAAATTAAAAATGAAATAAAAAAATTTATTTCTTTTTATTTCAAAATAATTTTTTAAAATTAAAAGTATATGAGAAGGAAAAGAAGAATATGACTCAAGCTTCACAAATTTCATAAAATATTTTTGTTATCATGATGAGCATTCAAATGAGTTTATAAGATTTATAATGGTATATCTCATTCACAGATGTTATATATTACTTATTTATGCTAGCGTTATAATATTCTTTAAATTAAGTTATGCACATATTAACGATATTAAAAAAATATTGTTTCTTATCTTTCAGTAAATTGTTCGTTGGTGGATTATCATGGGAAACAACCCAAGAGAATCTCCAACGTTACTTCGGCCGTTATGGCGAAGTTATCGATTGCGTCGTTATGAAAAACAGCGAATCTGGGCGCAGTCGGGGTTTTGGATTTGTAACATTTAGCGACCCCGCTAATGTTTCCCTGGTTCTTCAAAATGGTCCTCATCAACTTGATGGACGTACAGTATGTATTTTAATCTCCCTCTCTTTTTTTTTTGTGAAAATACATGTGTTATGTATTTTCTTTGTAAACTAGATTTACAAAATAGGTTACTGAATAGCACATTTAATAAAATTACAATTACATAAGATTAAGACAAAATTATGATTTTATATGTACATGAGTATGAGAGTTAGATAAAACATATTTTGTTGATATTTCATATTATAGATTGATCCAAAACCATGTAATCCACGCACTCTTCAGAAGCCAAAACGTAGTGGTGGTTTCCCAAAAGTTTTTCTTGGTGGTTTGCCAAGTAATGTGACGGAGACAGACCTAAGATCCTATTTTACTCGCTTTGGCAAAGTTATGGAAGTGGTCATAATGTACGATCAGGAAAAAAAGAAATCCAGGGGTGAGTGTAAATTAATTTTTATATTAGGATATACTAATTGATACATGTTTGATGGTTTTCACATCATTATTTAAATAATATTTCTGTTAGTACTTCATATATTCGATTCTTACTCTTTCCTATGTTTAAAAATATGCTTTACATATCAGTTTTAAATTATATTTTTTTCAATATTGTATACATACATTTTAAGAATAAATTGTGAAAACTATTGAACAATATATCAAAAGAGCCTTAGGATAAGTTATTTTTTTGTAGTCTTTATTTATGATATTAAAACTATAGTCAGAATTCTTGAATCCTTTTTTTATAGAGGAAATAACATATAAGAGATTTTTCATATATTTATTCTATACATTCTTAATCTATATTATACGTGTAATATAATTTAAAATAATTTTACTGCACACATATGCAAAACGAATATGAATGTGAAAGAAAATTAAATATTTTTTGGTTAATATCAAAGATAATTTTGTGAAAGCGCACACTTTTTTGATCAATAATTCTGACTTTTTACTGCAGTTATCTATTACTATCGTATAATAAAAAGTAATATTAAGATCTCAATGAGAAATAACAATTTTTAATATTTTAAGCAGTTCATTTTCTAATCGTAAGATTAAATTTATAATAAAATTTAAAATGATCTAATATTGCGCAATTATTATGATATCCAGCTCTAACTTTTCTTTTGTAATACATCTTGTGTTCTTTTGCGAGAATTACATTACACATTGCAGTACTTTACTTACATTAAATTAAATAAAGCAGTTTATATATAATGTGTTTTGACTAAGTTTTATTAAATATAAGGCTATCAAATTATATGCTGTTGTAAGTTACACATAGCTTAAGTCTGCTATGTAATTAGTAAGCGGTCCCATTTTTTGTTAGATATTATGCATTTGATATCCTACTTTGAAATAACTCATTTATGTAATTATAGCTAAGCATCATTATTATACTTAGAAATAAGGTTGTGACTAGTATTTCAATTAGATTAGATACAAATATTTTTCAATTATTTTCAAATATTTTCCGGCTACATAATAGCTGTGTTTGTGTGTATGGTGGTTGCATTCAAGAAGTTGACATTTTGGCTTTGTGTGTGTTTACCTATTTTTCGGAATAAAATATTCTATTCTCGAGAGAGAAGCTTCTTAAAGTCAGCCATCATCAAAATTGTAGAAAATATAAGTTCTTAAATTTTTTTTATAATCTTATAAAGAAGTGGCACAACAAATGCATTCATTGTTTAATAATATACATATATTTTATTTGCCTCCTAATGCACATCATATAATATCATGGCATATAATATTCTATATATATGTGTGCATGTTATTGACATTGAATGCATTGAAGACAATTATTATAGTATCAGAATTTTAATACACATAAGCATGGGTTATAAATCTAACACACACAAAATAATATTTAAGTTTAAATCCTTTCTTTATCAAAATTGTTATCATTATCTGCGGCTATTTATCAAAATTTTTGTAAATAATGTAGTTTCATCTGTTTTAGATAATGTGTATTATAAAGATTATATATTAAGAATTGAAGATTATAGATTAAGAATTACAATTATCTCAGTTGCGTAATAGTATTCATATTAATAAACAAAGATATGGAAAATAAAGAATTAATTTTTAATTTGATAAAAAATTTAATACGTATATATAATTTTCGAACTAGATTATAAATACATCACAAAATATGTATATTATTATGGATTTTCTAATCTATTAATCAAGAAAAAAGTCACAACGATATTTCGATCTTATTGTGAGACAAACAAATTTGTTGAGAGGCGAGACAACGGGCTCAGCCAATAGTCGTACGGCACTAAAATTTCTCTTTCTTAATCTCTTGTCTGTTTTTAACAGCTAGTCTTTTTTATGGAAATACGCAATAAATATATTAGTTAATATATATATTTTAGCATTTTAAAAATTTATAAGTTAATTAAATTATAAACATTTGAAAACAAAATTTTGATTTGAACAGTATTGTACTGTATTGTATTGTGTGTGATATATAATACAATGAGACAATCATACACTCAATGAATTAGAAGAGAAATTTACATTGCGCAATATAAAAAAACGGTTATTTTATTAATCCAGTAATAGAAATGACAAAATTTATTATCTAATAAGTATTATAAAATTAAACAATATAAATATCTATTTGAGTTTGTGATTGAATATATTTCACACATTGTATTGTAAAAACTGCTTTCTCGCATTGTTCTGGCGAGCATTTTTTTGATTATACTTTCTCACGTTTGGACAACAGGATTCGGCTTTCTCAGCTTCGAGGATGAAGAAGCAGTGGACAGATGCGTCGCGGAGCATTTTGTCAACCTAAATGGAAAACAGGTATAACACATCAATACACCATCGCCATGTAACCATGATGCTGCACAAGACCATATATTATCATAACATATGATTTTGTGTGGCAAATAGAAAATAAGTATATGTATATGTACATTGTTAATGTATTGTTCTCTTGCAATTAGAAATATTACATAGGAATTTTAGTCACATAAATTATTTATTACTACTATTAATTCATACGAGTATTAGCATATATATAAACTATATATTGAATTGACAGGGAGATAAATATTTTTGTAATTTGAATAGTATTAAGTGTGAACACACACTGCTTTTAATATATTTATTATATAAGTATTATTATTTAAAAAAATGTTAGTTTATAATATAAGTATACCGTTATACTTATACCATATACCGTTTAATTAATGTGTATGTGACTTTGTATTTTATATGTGCAGAATATTATATTAATTAATGTAAAGTAACTAATTAGCCTAAAATATACAATAATTCGTAAAAATAATTGTAAATGGTAATATATATAATGCGCGTATACATATATTTCTAAACTTTATTTCAAAAATTTATTTTTAATGCGAATTTAAAATTCTTTTTATCATTTTTGATAAAAAAATAATTTAACAATACATTTGCATGATATCTTTTCTTTCCAGGTTGAAATTAAACGTGCAGAACCGCGAGACTCGTCCAGCAAGATGAACGATAGTCATCAGGGTCAGTGGGGCCCACCTCAACAGGGTGGTCCACCGATGGGAATGGCCGGGAATATGGGGCCTATGGGTGGCCCAAACGGGCAAATGGGTGGACCTATGATGGGAGGACCGATGGGCCCGCCTGGTAACATGATGCAACAATATCAAGGTTGGGGCACTAGCCCCCAAACTGGTGGATACGCCGGATATAGTACTCAGTACAATGCTCAAGGTTGGGGTGCACCACCGGGACCGCCTCAACAGCAACAAATCCCGCCGCCGCCGCCGCATCAGTGGGGAAGCAGCTATAACGTTCAACCTGCTGCAGCTACCCAGGGCTATGGAAGTTATGGTAATTTCAGAAATAATTGATATCCAAATATTTTTTTTTCACTTTCATATTTAAAAAAAATATATATATTAATCAATTACGATTGATCAGTCTTACATAATTTAATTGATTGTATGATTATCGAAAATTAATTAAACATTTTTCTTGATAATAATAATAATAATAATATCTTGTTGGTCGAGATATATAAAAATTTTACAAAAATTTAATAATATATTAACAAAGAAAATCCATATTCTTCTGTATGTTCTTTCAATCTTTTTTCTTGTTGAAAAAATATTAACAATCAATGTTTGATTAGCAAATAAGATAAAAACATTTTTATAGAAAAATTTATTATTGACCATGTTTTCTTCTATTTATATCAATTAACAAATTAAAATTAGAAGATCTTCTAACTCTTTATATATTAAATGATAAAATTTAAATTACATAAAACTTCTAAACATTTAACATTTAGCAGAAATGAAAATTATAAATACTATATTACGCTACAAAAATTTATAAGACATTAATAGATATTAGCAGTATTATTGAAATATTGGAGAATTATCGCTATATCTTATTGTTTATACAGGGTACATGAGACAGTGAACGAGGTTGATATCAATTTTACGTTCGAAAAATACAATATGACGCTGATGTATATATATAGCTAAAGCGCTACATTGGAAAGTTTTAAATCTAATCCGATTTTTCCAAAATTATTAATCTCAAGTATCAACTTCGTTTATATCATGCTCAGGAATAATAACGATAAGGTCTTAGAACTAAATATAACATTAATCCTGCTCCACTCCCTTCCACCTCCATCCTGCTTGGAGAGGTTAGAAGAAGAAAGAAAAAGATAAGAACATGAGAAATCTACAAATCGCAATATAATACGATTAATTTGCACAATGCCCCCTGGAGGTTAATTTCGAGTGAAAATACAATGGGATAATTTTAACGCAAAGAAAGTTAAAAAGTAATTATGTCAGTCCAGACTTATATGTGTTTTATTTATTATTATTACATGACAAGTATAAATTGTAACTATTTGATATAATAAGGTATAAAACAACAAGTTATATATTTATGTAAAATGTTTTAAAACTTTCGGATGTTTTTTTAATAGCAGATTTTCTGCTCAATGTGGAGTCGATTTTTCTTTAGCGAAAATATCGAGCTAATTATTATCTCATCTTTTATTAAATATCGCAAGTATTTAAATGAGGCTTCAGCATTTAGTTTGGATTGACGTAATATATATATTTCGTATACATATTCGAAATATTGGACCTCATAATCTTATCTATGTTTATGCTTGATTCTCTTCAAGTTTAGTCCTTTTCACGTCTCTCTGTATTGAAGTTTACTTTCCCAGATTTTTATACAGATTCTGCTTTTACACTAAAACAGTAGTTATAGTTTTTACTCTATTTATCCATAACATTATAAATTATCTCAAAGCACAAATTGCTGTGCGAAAAATAGTATGCTTAGATAGCGAATACTAATATTGGGTATGATAACATGTTGCTTATATTCCATAATAAATGTCATACTCATGTGTAATAAAATAAAGAAGCTACACACACACAGACACATACATGTATAGGCTGTTATAATTGATACTACAATTGAACACAGCAGCATTCTCTGCAAAAGCAATTTTCATATACAATTATTATCGTCTATCTATCGCTTTCTTCTTCTTCTTCTTTATTCACACAGTATTAAGAGAACCAAGCATGAACGTTTAAATCGCGCAAGAGATATTTTTATGCAACGCTAAAAAAATAGAGACACATCTTAAGATACTTTTAACAAGTTAGAGATAAAGATAATAGTAATATAAATTAAAAGAGTGCTATAAAAAAAGTGATTTGAGGTGTGACATGCGGTCGGTGACACGTATTTTGTGTGGTTGATGATCGCAGGTGGGCCGGCGGCGGCCGCTTCAGGGGGCTACGGGCCCACGGCGGGTACTGGCGGGGCTGCGGGGGGCGGGCCCGGGGGCTCCTGGAGCTCCTGGAACATGCCACAGAATGGGCCCCCTCCTGGGACCCAGCCCCCACCCCAGCCCCCTCAGCCCAACTCCTCGCAGCCCAACTCCAACTCGAACCCCTCTGGCCCGCAGGGTGAGTCTTCAAGCTCAGTCAAACAAACTCTCCTCTTTCCACCCTTTGGCATTGCAATTAGTTCCATTTTGACCTAATTTTGAACCTAGCTAAAGCAACGTAATTTATTTTTTTTACATCAACCTAATTTTATGTCTAGTGCCTTTGGAAAGATTAATGCGCTTCCAACGATTAGAATGTTTATCGTTATTTGTTTGTTCCTGATGTAATAGACTTCCTTCAGATCTCGCAACTGAGTTCTGTTAACTGTGTGAACGATTTTCGCAAATATAATTTAACAATTGTGTTTGGATTAGAAATCAATAATATTCTTAATGGGAGAACAAATTGAATCTTTATATCATTACATTTATTTATATTTTTATATTTTTTATGCATAAAAGATCTTGCGAACGGTACGATTTTGATAGTAACTATATTTAAAAAAAGTTTGAAAAATATATTAATCGCTTTTGCACAAATTATCAACATGTATAATCTTTTATTATATAGTGGTTGTTACTATAGAGATTGAAGGAAGTAGAATAAGATTTGAATTATTTGTATTACACGTTCATATAACATCAAATAATGTATAGGGCTCGGAAGTCACCGTATCTTACGTCTAACGTAATTTATTATCTGGGAGATACAAAAGTGGAAAACAGCGCGTAGATATTCTGCTCGAAGTTGAATTGTGTAGGGATAATGGAATACCCTCGTTGCATATTGTTCTCATCTTTGGGATCGAAAGCAACGCTTATTGTATATGCTTGACGCACTACTGCTTGCCGCTATTACCTATCTGCTTTATTATCTCATGTTTTTATTCGTTGGACGATATTATAGATTATGCTTCGAGCATGAGAGACGATAATTTCTGAGCCGTAACGATAAATTAAGATTATGTTTTTTTATTCAGGAATCCTGGCATATCCCGATACTCCTTCCTTTGCAAATTTTTTATTCTGTTATTGTTTTTTTACGCTTAACTTTTTACATGTAGATGATCGAAAAGCATGTACCCTGCCAGTACATATTTATTGAATATATATTTAACTACATTTATAATTGAAAGATTAGCATACTATTAGACACATAACAGATTTAGAATAGAATTTCCAGAAGGTATTTCTCTTCCAAAATCCGAGCATGTTATAAAACATAATAATCATTATATTTTATAAATATTAAAAATTTGTAAAAAGAATTGATATTTTATGATTATCTGTCATGTAGGATAGTAATCATGTTCTCCGATCTTTTATTTTTTTTACCGTTGTCCTATCTAATTAATGACGAATTAATGTCTTTTCTATTGACAATAACAAATATAATCCATTGTTAGAAATATTCATTATAATTATAATTAATCATGACGAACTATTTGCGTTAAGCTATAAAAATAAATTATACAGTAAAAGAAAATAAAGGTTATTACAACCCCGACATCAATTCGTCTTTGAAATCCTGAGTATCAGTATAATACTTTTAATATCTTCGCTTGTGTGTAATATATGTTTGTCTCACCTTAGTGCTTTTCATTGTCTACACACGATATGTGTGTATTTAATCATATATAAAACATATATGAAATAAAATTTTAATTAATCTAAATTTATTGTTGTGAAAAAATGCAAGTTATTTGTATACATGTGAATATATTTTTACGATACTTGTTATTTAACATAATTTTTTTATAGTTTTTTTAAAAATAATAAAGTGAAAATGATAATTATATTAATAAATGTATAATAACTCGAGAAACTTAGATGTTAAAGATATTAAAATAATTCGTCTGCACAATTTACTATCACGCTAGATGATTGTTATGGTTATTTGATATAAAATGCATGTGATTATATAGCGATTATATGTTTTAAACGTACATTGTTTATTTATTGATTTATAAAAATTGTGAAATTGATATATTTTACAAATTGACTTGAAAAAATCTTTGATATTGTTATAATTATACATTATTATTATATGATTCTAATTTTTTATATAAAAATCAATATTTGAAGGAAATAAGATTAATTAGTCGAACATCTATAAATCAATATATATCGATTTTATTATCTTGATATTAAGGATAGCAAAGTTAAATATATATATATATATATTCATAAAATTTTTTATATGCTAGGTGAGATAACTCTTTTTACACACAAATGTTTACGAAATAAAATTTTATTGTTTTTAATATTTACGAGGATATATTGATATAAATAATGTTCATATTGTTTACTAATAACTTAATTTTTTTAAAGATCGCATTTAATTATAAGAACAGACTTTTTTAAAGAGACGATTTATTAGCTCCTTTGATTTTTCAATATTATAATGTATAAATAATAGTACAAAAAAGTATATATCGTGAATTATACATTGGAAATAATTAACTGCAGTATTCTCTTTAAGCACAATTACGTTTTAACTTATTTTTTTATATCTTTTTATTAAATCGTTAGAAATTAGCTCTTTTTTAATCTGATTAGATGAATGTGATTATTTAATGTTATGAACGAATGTTCCAGGTGATATGTACTCACGGCAGAACACTGGCTCAGGTGCACCCGGGTCTAGCAGCAGCATTGGAAATAATTAACTGCAGTATTCTCTTAAGCACAATTACGTTTTAACTTATTTTTTTATATCTTTATTAAATCGTTAGAAATTAGCTCTTTTTTAATCTGATTAGATGAATGTGATTATTTAATGTTATGAACGAATGTTCCAGGTGATATGTACTCGCGGCAGAACACTGGCTCAGGTGCACCCGGGTCTAGCAGCAGTTCGGCTAAGACTCCAGATTACACTGGGTACTCCGCGTATAGTAATTACGCGGACACCACTTATCCTCAGCGTTCGTATCAAGGAGGAGAAAGCAACCAAGGTGGGTATGCCGCCAGCGCTCCTAAACCCGGTCAGCAAGGCTTTGATTTCAAAGAGTGGCCCACCTCATGACCATTTTAATTGACTCATGGTGGAGAGATGCGCTGAATGGCTTGGCCTTGCTCGTGGGTTATTTCTTACTTCATATTCAAGACAACCGCAAATTGTATTTGATCGTGAAATCTGCGCTATGATGTGAGACATTCCTTGTTGTTTTACGTCACTTATCTACTTACTATGCGTGTTAAGAATGTCATTATTTAGAAAAAGTATCTTGTTTAAGGAATTATGCGCTACATAACATATTTTTGTAGAAACTGTAAACTAGAGTTACGCGCGCGCGCGCAATTAGAGTTGTAAAATACTTGCTGAAAAAGTTGCTAAAATTCGCCGGCGTAATTGATGATAAAAGACGCAAAGAATGTCTCTTGTTCAAGCCAGTATGTCGTTCGCGAGCGGTCGTATTTATAAATAAATATCTTTTTTGATAATACCGAAGTGCAAGCTTGGAAAACGGAAGCGTCAAAGAATAGAAGGGATGTTTAGGCTCTTTTCAGATATTGATTTTTTTTTATTGATCGCTCGCGAGAACGGCCCATGATCTTGTCAGATAAAAATAAAGAAATAAATTCTTTTAAAGTTACATTAAATAAAGTAGAACAAGCAGTTCGACAAAATTAGGATAGACACCCATGATGCAAGCGAAGTTTGTATGGCACTAGGATAGAGGGAAGAAAGCGCGATGTAGAAGTATATTGTAAGAATAATACATAATATGAGCGGATTTTGTAGAAAAGAAAAGTAAATGAGTAAAGTAAAAAAGCGAGCGTAAAGAGTCAGGAATGCTAATCATTTAATCGATATAATGGCATTTATTATGGAGGTGAATAAGATCTCAAGTTGGAGAGTATTTCTTCTCAGAACAGGCACAAATTTCGATGCTTGTTCACCTCCTGATCGTTAGCAGGCACTTCGGTAACCCAAACGATAAGAATAAACGAAAGAAATATTTAAAATAGTCTCTGATGGAAAGTCAGCGCGATGACTTGCACATTCGAGACACTCATCCCTCCACGATCTTGTATTTATTAAATAGTTGTTATATCGGATATATAATTGAAGAAAAAAAATGATAACAAGAATAATTAATCAGATAATTAAGTAAGATGATCACAGGCTGACCTACGACTATAGAGAATAGTGTAAAATATATAGATCATTTTAATATGGTGTATTGTATAATCTATAAATCTTGACACACTCTCAGCAGGATGCAGTTTTTGCGGGCGTCCTTTTTTACTTTTATGTCATATCACTAGTAGTATCTTAAAAATACGTATTTCATTCTCAGTTCCTTTTTTCTACTTTTTCTTGTTTACGACTAATTCCTTAAATTAGTTTAGCGACTGCTTTTCTACTCTTCCAAATAATTTGGAAATAATATCAATGTGCGAAAGGGAGGGGATAATAAGAAAAAAACAAACAATCAGAAATATTTTTACAAATTGTATTATAAGAACTTAGTGTGGTCGTCAGACTGGCTTCTGTTCGGCCATACCATAATGCACGTGGAAACTGGTTTATTTTTTACCTCCGATTTATAATAGCTATTATTAGGCACGTTTAAGGCTACGATTATTATTGTTACTATTATATATAATTAATTCTATATATTATTACTACTATATATACAAATATTATTATTATACCTACTCTTATCACTATTGCTATTGCTATTGCAAGTACTACAACTGCACTATTACTACTACACTATTATTATTGTCGACGATAATTACGAAATATTGTACGATGATGTGCTTATAAGTGTTTAAATTTTAGATGATTAGAACAAGATCATTGATGGATAAGGTGGAGGGAAGGGTATATTGTAATCGTGTGGATATATCTCGGTAGGGGACATTGACCTGAAAAGTTTACCTGATTAAATATATGACTTAATTATATTTACTCTGTAGGATTTACCATAGATCTAAACAAGGAATATTTCGGAAGAGTGCTCTCGAAATGCTCATATTTAATTACCGAGCGGGTCGCGTTGTGTCTTATTTTGTCGATGATAGCGAGTATTACGCTAATATATACATATAATTTACCACAAGTAAATAGACTTTTTATCACATAAAAGTATATAATTAATAGATTACAGTTACAGAGAATCGCAATTTTGTTAAGTATCGCAAATCTGATCTCATATAATGTAATTTATCATTGTCCATGTTCTTTTTTTTTGTTTATCGAACACAACAGTATAAGAACTATTATATCTTAAGTGCAAGACGATCGACTGTTATTTTTGTTTTCCTTTTTCGTATCTTCTATTGTTCGTTTCGCATCATTCATATATGTTCCATTTTACTGTTTGGTATATATTCTGACAATAGTATTGAATATTATAAATTCAAAGCTGTAGTATAAGCTAATTTTTTTATTACAATATCGGTATTAATTGATATATCGAGTTCAAATATAGAGTCAATTTGCATTTGATTAGAAATCAAGTATAATAACTTGTTTTTCATCTGCGCAAAATATATCGCGGAGGGAAAACCAGTGTTGTAAATCGGATGAAGAAAAATGACGAGCGAAACGTTAACAAACGCGACTCGTGTAAACTTCTGGGATCAACGCAATAACACATTTAATTAAACACATAATAAAACGAAAAAGCGATTAGAGAGCTCAATCAAACAACTAATTTTACACATTAATTATTATAGTAGGACAAACACGTACAGATAACATATACACTTATGAACACTTATTCACACGTACATACTTCTATGCGGATAAAAAAAAGAAAATTAATTAACTTTTCGGCAGCACGTAAAACTGCTTTTTATTTTAAGTGACATAGAAATGCATTATAATTATGAAATGTCACAAATTTATTCTGTTTATACGCATAAGAACAGTCGTAAATAATATGTCGCTATTATTTTCCGTTCCATCTCTTACAGATTGGGTTAAATGACGTTATTTATCCGTTTATAACAACCAAGTATTTTATCACTTTTCAATTATTCTTTTTGCTTTTACGAAATTTAATATTTTGCCTTTACGAATTTTAATGTTTCGTCCTTTTACGAATTTTAATATTTCAATATAAAATAATGATGTTATATAAATTAGCAATGTGAAAAGCTTTAATTGATTATTTATTTAAATTTTCATTTGCTTGTATTACAGAGAGAGAATTTTAAATTTTAAATGGATTATGATTATTCAGAACTAAAAAGTTAAATAGACTATATATTATTGAATATTATTATCGAATATTTAAACGATAAAAAAATTTATACAAAAATACATAGTTGAAAAATGACGAAACACTTTATTGTTCAGGATAAATAACGCGTTATTTAGCCTGATTTGCAAGAAAGAGAGCAGCTAATAATAGCGACGTGTTTTATGTCTATAGCTGTTTTTTACAACTTATTTTATAAATAATACCTATAAATAATGATGCAAATTAAAAAATAGTATATCAATTATATTATTACTATTAATATTATATTTCTTACTATTATCGATTTTTAACTAAAGTTGAAGCGTGAATTTTAAAGTCTTTAAGTGTATGCGAGGTATATTAAGGAAACTCGGTTATTACATTTAATTTGTACAAAGCACGTAAATATAATCGATGCGTTTGTTGAGAATTGGTATATAAATGAGCTAATTAATTTATAATATTAACGAGTCTCAGACGGATAAAATAAATTTAAATACTAGTGCGCGGGGACGGGGAAGAGAGAAAAAAAAAAGAAAGAACTACAAAGATTTAATAGTTGTCTTTGGCGGGATTGTATATACATACATTTTAGACTTTACGGTGGTATAGTTTTGAAAAATGCGCAATGGAATTTAATGGAAAACGTATAAAAAAACGAAGGCAAGATGCTTAGAGCGGGGGAGGGGGGGATTTGCAAAGTTTATTTTAAGTCGTGGTAAAAAGTTTTGGAAAATGATAAAGGTATCCGAACGTCGCCTTAATAAGACGCGTTACACTCTCAGTAGGAAATTTACTCTACTTAGCAATAGAGCAAAGACTCTTTGTTATTCAATTTATCGTCAAACACGAACAGCACATCGACTGCGATAGTGGATACCTCAAGATATTTAATTGCTCGCTTGATCAGAAAGACATGCACGGTGAAAACTCGTATCATGATTATGTTTGGACCTTTTTACGGATCGGGAATTAAGAAAATGTAAGTCATCTTTAGATAGAAGGGCAAGATTCTATTCGAATAATATTGACGATTACTCTAATTGTACAACAGATAATATATTTATATTTAACGCAATATTATTAGTATTTTTAAATACAGAGATGACGCATCTAATTAATGTAATAGGTAGCATATAGAAAAGATGTACTTTGATTCTAGCCGTTGTTACTATCTGCCTCATTCGCGGTTACGCGAACTGTACGGCTTGCTCTCAGGGTTGTTGTTGTTCCCTTTTTTTATTATTGTTTCTGTGCGAGTTCTTTTTTTCCTCCCTATCTTATGTTCATCTACTTTTACCGAGTTGTATGTATTTATTTTTTTTGTCTTTTAAGCAGGCACTTACACTTTATGTTATTCTGTAAAGTATCCCGTAAAGAAGCCCTAGGTTCAGTATTGAAATATCTTATACACGATGCTTTTCACTGTTAGTCATCCCTGTTTAAATAGACTGAGGCATCTCTCATTTTTTTTAGAAAGTTAAAAAGTTTAAAAAAGTTTTTTAAAAAGTTATCTCAAAATAAAATCAACGTATCCGATATGTGTTGGAGACCGTTATTCTGTATAATAATCACGACTTTGAGAAACGAGGAAAAAATGTCTCGAATATTATCATTTTTTTTTTAGTGTTATTTTCTTATAAGTTTTCATTAAAAATTGAAAGTTAGATTATTCTATATGCTCTCTCAGAAAAAGAGCATTGGATTACAAATTTCATCGGATTTGCTTACTTTTTTTATTGATATGTATACAC